ACCAAGTCACCAAAACTCCTTCAAAGACACATTTTGTTTCAGACTGTGTTTTGACTTTTTTTCCTTATTTTCCATCAAAGATAATAGAGGGGGAAAAATGGTCCCTATGGAAGGAGCATTAGTAACAAATGCTAAGTGCTCTGCTATCAGGGTTGATTGTCAAATAATGAACACTTCTCAATTAGAATGAATCAACTTTCTAAATCAAACACAGCAGGGCAGGCCAGACTGTTATCTCTTATTTGAGCTCAAGGTCAAGTATAGCTGAAAAATGATCTAGTAACAGCCAATATGCATGGAAAATAAAATATCTTAAAACTCTAAATAAGCAATGAACATTTTAGATCCTGGATCTACCCCACTTCATAATTTTTATGTCCCTGGACAAGTTTAAAATCTCTGAAACTTACTGTTGGCATCCAAAGATGCTGGAGTGAAAATATATATACAATGATGAAAATACATATGAGATATATATATTTGGTGTATATATTTTTATATATGGATATACACACATACAAACACAAATACAAAAATATATGGTAGCCTGAGAATGAGAAGAGAATGTATGCAAAAATCTCACTTAATAAGTCTATACTAGGAAAAAAAAATATAGAAATACTGTCCTCCTTCCCCAAAATAAAATACTATGAGGAAGAAGAATCGTATGCATAATAGTTTTTATTATTATTCTATTGTTTGAAGTAAGATATCATTGGCTTTCCAATTGTCAGTATTCACAACTTAATCATGTAAGTGTTATCATGACATACATGCTTCTATAATCCTTCGGCAGCTTTGGTGGCCTAATGGATAGGGAGTTGCACTACCAGCCCAAAGGCATGTGGTTTGAATCCACCAGCAGCTCAAGAAGAGAAAGAGAAGCCATCTCTTCTGCTGCAATGTAGAACCTCTGAAAACCCACCGGAGGATCAACAGCATGTTGGTTCCAACCCAACAGTAATGAGTTGTTGTATAAAAATAATTTTTATGGTATTTTATAATATGAACAGCAAACAATTAAAACATACACTGCAAAAAAGAATAAGCCCTAACTATTTACTGTAAACTCTGCTAACTGTGACTTGAACTATTATGTATCATGAAGGGAGAAATATGCTGCTACATAAACTATGATAAATCATGAGTTAGAAACCATATAATTTCAGAAATAGTGTAAAGTGGGAAAAAGATGTACCTTAGAATTGATGAAATAGAAATAGAAAACCAGAAAAGGTCTGGAGGCTCAGTTCTGTATTAAACATATTACCAAGTTGCTAATCTCATCCACTGTATGTTGTGCTATTTAAGGTTAAGAGACTGTCAGTTCAAAGAATGGGAAGTGCAATTCAAGGAAGGAGGGAGGAAAAGGGAGGAAAGGGAACTCTGCAAAGTCACTAAGTTCAAACCAGTGAAACACTAAACAGTTCATTTCAAAAATAATAAACAAGAACACATTTCAGATCATAGTCTTGGAGACCTCAAGGTCAGCTGGCCAAACGCAGTCCACAAAGACAGTGTTCTATACCCTACATTGATGAGTAGTGGCTTTAGACTTTAAAGCCAGCTAAAGAGCATCTAAGGCGAAACCAGTGATCCCTCCCTGGCTGCAGCAAAGCAGAATGAAGAAAATCAGACACAAGAAAACAATTAGTCCACACCATTACTAGACCTCCTGAACCTCAACTCCCACAACCCTGAGATCAGGAGGACAAGATGATACCCAGCCACCAGGGATGCCCTGAAAGGAATCACAGCAAAGGATCTTGGAGAGAGTAAGAGAAAAATCTAGGACAAAATGCAAGCTCACAATAATGGTCAGGCTTACTGTCTTGACAGAGAATGGCACAACACCCAAGACTACGGTGGTTAGTCACTCTGGGAGCTTGGAACTGAACTCACCCGAGTCAAACAACTTGCTGCCAAACAACAGACAAATCTATAAGGTAAAATAACCACCCATTACACAAGAGCAGCAGATGGGAGGAGGGTGGAGGGTGAATGGAAACATGAACCAAGCAAGATATGGGAAGAGTGATAATACAATGTGGGGGTGCAAGTCAATGTCACAAAGTAAAATACTTATAAACCTGTACAATGGAATACCAATATGCTGTGCAAACTTTCATGCAAACCATAATAAATTTTTTTTAAAAAAGAACATCTTTCGTGTCAATGAACATTTTCATAAAATGATGAGACATTAAAACCAGTAAAATGTTATTTTTTTGGAAGACAATCAACCTATTCTTAGTAAAAGATTTCAATTAAACAAAAAATTATTTGAATGAACAATTCCAATATCAATAATATACCTTATGGAAATAATGCCAGAGATACCCAAAGATATGCCACATCCCCTATTCATTTACAATAGTGAAAAACCGGTAAATCTTAAAGTAAAAACATTAGCTAAATATAGACATTATTAGTTAAAATACATATTCAAAATTAGGCTGTAAAAAATCAAGTGATATGGAGAAAATGTTTGAGGTTAACTATAAAGTTAGTTCAATCCAATGGAAAACAGCTTAATCCAATTTGTTTCTTAAAATATATGCCCAGAAAACAGTAAATTTCAGTAAGTGAATAATGAAAAGAGAAAAATTATACTGTCAATAAACAAAATAAAAAAGAAAAAGTCTATGATTGAGGTTTGAAAACCATACAACGAAAAGAATTAGCTAGGCCTGGGTTGACAATTGAACTGGGGCTTGATGAGAATTGCCAATGAGGCTTGCCAAGTGAAGATAATTAACAATTTTTTTAACATCTTAAAAGAAAAAATAAAAGACCCCACATAATAATCTGTTACACTGTTTTTGGCATATTTTAGAGTCTTGATAGCCATGAAGAAATCTCTTACTGAAAGACAGATTTTTCTACATACTAAGTAAATTAAACCTATTAAAAGTCCCTATCCAAGAAGGAAGGGGCTTAGGATTTAGGATTTAATTCAAAAGAAAATGCATCCCTCTTTCAAGATAATTATATTGTATAGGGGGTTTTGAGTACTATCCGAAAGTACAGAGGGAAAAGTAAATAAGACAAAAAGAAGAAATTAATCCATTAGAGTACACATAACATATTTTTTCGTCAATTCCAGTTGGCCTCCTATAATACACTTAGCTACCTCATACCAGATTTGGGACTATCTAACATGTCTCCCAAAAGGTATACAGGAAATCCTAAGGTGCACCACTGATAGCGAATGTTCAAGCCCTAAGAAATGTTTCTAAGAATGCAGGCTGCGTGGAGGAGGTGACTACTCCTCTTAGGGACCCTATAAGCCTTGCTCTTTCCGCAGACTTGCTGGGGTCCGTTGTTATAGTCACTGTGTTGATCATTTTGTTCAGGGTCTAACTCTCTCTGACTGTAACTTTCCCAGCAAGATGTCCTTTTCCAAGGAAGCGCCTCTTGACGAGAGGCCCAAAGCATGTGAGAAAAGGTTTCCTCTTTGCTTCTAAGGAACACCCTGGATGCACTTCCTCCAAGACATACTTGTTTGTTCTTTTGGCCGCACATGGGATTGACAACCCCCATGGTGGGTTGTAGGGAGGGACAGGTCCTTGGAGAGGGACATCATGCTTGGGAGGGTGGAGGGACAGCGCAGGAGAGGAAGGCCCTCTAAGAGGTGGATTGACTCAGTGAGTGGGGTAATCTGGATGGGAGTGTCAGAGACAGTGCGACTGGCACAGGACAGAGCGGAGTTTAGGGTGTTGTAGATAGGGTCGCTATGAGTCACAAGCGACTGTAGGGCACATAACAACAACATGGTGGCCTAGTGGTAAAAAGCTGCGCTGCAATCCCAAAGACATGCTGTTCGAATCCTTCAGCTGCTCCGGAGGAAACCTCCTCCCGTGTGATGAAACCGCCTCTGAAAACCCACTGGAGGCCAGTCAGGGGTGGATCCGAGTTGATGGTACACGACTATGCACGGCAGGGTGGGGCCAGGCTTCCACCTGTCATTCACAGGGTCGCTACGCACCTAACTCCTTCATGAAAAAAGGCTACTCTGGGTGGGGGACCTGCCATAAGAAGCTCAACAGCAGGCAGAACGTGCACGCCTGGCTCCCAGGATTTCTGTAACTCTGGACACTGGTGAAATGAACCAAAGGAACAAGATGACACTGACTCCTGGAAACGGAACAAAACCCAGACTGCAGAAAACCCAGCTTTGGTGTGAAAAACCCATCCAGAGACAGAGGGTCTCAAGGGTGACTCGGACTTTGCAGAAGACCCAAGACAGTTCGCATCCTCTCCTCTGCCAGGCGCTGATGCGTGAACCCCAAGTGCACAAGGAACCTGCCAGGGCCCCCCC